TCTCTCGCACCACTCTATGACGTGCTTTGCAGGGAAGCGAGGACATGACTGCTATAGGAACCGGAGCGCAGAGCTGAGCGTGTTGTTTTTTTCGGCTGGCGCAAAATATTACTGCGTGAACTTTACTTTGTACTAGGAGATTCATACCTCGTACTGTTAAAAATACCTTGCGACTAATGGCATTACTGAGAAAAAATGCTGCATTCTGGTAACATTACTTATAGCTTAGATGATCATTGAGAAAATCCGTACCTTCAAAACGACAGGTAGAAAAGGCGGAAGCACAGTTTACCGAGAAAGTGAGGGGGGTAGTGTGTGTTCATGTTAACATTTGTATGAATTGCGGATGTGGATGATCACCCTTTATGTGAGCTGCACTCAGTGTTGGAGGTAACGTCTTACTAGTAACGACGTTACTGGTAACGCGTTACATTTTTTGCTAACGCAGTAACGTACTTGTTAGTATTCTGAATGACTAACAAGTAAAGAATTTTCGTTACTTTTTTGCGGTATCGGCTATCAAATTACGTTACCCGTTACTCGATACTTTTGACCAAAACTGGTGAAATACATTAGGTATTTGGGAAAAGGTAACAACACCTGATCTAACGTTTAGAATAGTCAATTCAAATGTCGATTGCGGCGTGCCACAGGGTAGCAAACTAGGTCCGTTATTGTTTAATATATATGTGAATGATCTAGGGTTATTACAACTACAATCTAGAGTGTTTCAGTATGCGGATGATACTGTTCTATTGCAACCGCGTGACAACTATAACCAGGCGGTTCCGCTGCTTCAAAGCGATATAGATTTATTAGTTAACTGGTTCTCAAGTAATCTCATTTCAATGAACGTCAATAAGACTAAATTAGTCTGTTTTCGTAATCCCCATAAACAAATTACTCAAGCACCAAACATTTATCGTCACATGCATGATCATGCTCAACACATTTGCACGTGTAGACCATTACCTTATGACTCCTCGGTTAAATATTTGGGGTTAATATTTTACCAACATCTCCTTTGGAACCAACAAACCGAATATATTATTAAGCGAGTCCGGGTTGTATCGGCGTATCCTTACAAGCTAAAAAGTGCATGTTCTGTAAACTTGCGGAGAACTATTTCCAAATCTCTAGGAGAATCAGTTATACGGTATGGAATTACGATATGTGGGAATTGTTCAGAGTACAAAAAACAAGGAATTGATAGAATCATAAAATATGGTGTAAACAAAATTTCTTACGGGTCAGTGTTCGATAAACCAGACATTGAAGAAAAAATGCGCGCGTTAGGAGTATTGTCATTCAATCAGTTTTATAAATATGTGACTATAACAAGTAATTATTATAGCAAAACGTTTAAACAAGAGGAAAAAAAAAAAAACTTGCGGCGTACAGATAGGTGCAAGGTATCTAAGATACAAATAAATTATAGAAAAAAGTTAAAACGACACTATGTCCCTTCGATGTTCAACAGTTTGCCAGAGTCTGCTGAACTTATCATCCTTTCGTGCGGTTAAACGAAATGTAAGAGAATGGTGCCTCACGCTCGCGCAATAGTAATTATATAATTACTTAGTGCGTATTCGTTGCCCAAATTCCTACATTATTGCTGTTTGTTTGTTTTGTTTCTCCAGTGTTCAATGTGTCACGGTATTTTGTTGGCTGCCTGGTCCCACATACAAGCATCTTTGCTTTCGTGGGCCAGCACGCTTACACATGCATTTTTTAAAGATAATAAAGATATTATTATTATTATTATTATTATTGTTATTACTATTATTAGTATTAGTAGTAGTAGTAGTATTTATAGCGATCAATAAGGTCTCGAGAGATGAGCCTAAATCTCTCGTTCGCCAGAGAGAGCTCGTACTTTTCTCTTTTGCTTCTTCGACTGTGTGGCTGTAGGTTGAAACTGAGGGTTGCACATCCCTACTATTTCTCGGTTTAGGTTTGCGTGCTCATTGGGGCTCTACGGCACAAGTATGGACCTTTTAACGGGAGCTCCTGAAGATGTCCTTTTTGTCGGCTTGGCATTGTCAATGCCACTGATTGCCTACTTCGGCATGGAGTGTTTTGGGAGAAGAAAAATGCTTTCCACTATTCTGCTCGTCGTTGGAGGATTATGCTTCTTGAAGGCCATCATCTATGGTGAGAATCGCGTTGCAGTTTTGATGGTGCCTTGCGACTTCCACAGCTTTCTATGTGACAAAGTGACAGTGTCCTTGATCAACGTAAGACAACTGACTTAAAGTAGGCATCCTAATAAGAAAAACGCATCTCCACGTGGTGAATAATGTAGATTGGGGCGAAGCGCTGGTGGTGCTTGTCTGCGTAGACGCTGAGCCGCAGCATGCCGAGCCTTTCGTTCATTTTCATCCATGTCACGCTGCGGTCAAATGCTCAAATGCGTATATAACCACGTTCCATACCACGCATCCTCTTTCTGACATGGATGGAAAGGAACGAAAGGCTCGGCATGCTGCGGCTCGCCGTCTACGCAGACAAGCACCACCAGAGCTTCGCCCCAATCAACACCAATCACCACGTGGAGATGCGGTTGTTGTTGTTTTTTGGCCCTACACGAGCACGGGAGCACGTGCTCACGTGCTCGTGAGCACGTGAGCGCGTGAGCTCACGAGCAGGAGCACGTGCAACCGACGGCAGACGGACATACGGACATGGCTAGCCCCTAAAGAGCTTCGCCCCTAAAAAAAATATATTACTATGCCACTAGCATTCATACAAGCTCCTATTAGCGGTGAGATGTTTTGGTGGCGCCCTCGTTGGGTTACCTTTCGTGACGTCATTAGCTTGTGAACAACAAGTTCGATGGTGTTTGTAATGGGCGTGGAAAGCCTGAAATCATAGCGCTCTCCAAGCAACACTGCCAACACCGTCAAAATTGGAGTTCTTACATTCCTCTTATTTCCGTCGATGAGACATCCTTTGCTGACGTCATAGTCAGCATTCGGCCAATTGTGGTGGGCCGATCACAACGACACTTTCGATCGCGCACGTCGCCAATATGCAAGGATCGTTCAAGGTTGACCAGGACATGTGTTCATAAACTATATCGCTGAACAAGTGTAGCACACGCAATACTTCTTGAAAATTCCGTACTGGATATGATGTATCTGACACATGCGCAGAAGATCTGTAGCTATCATAGCAGAGGGCATTGGTAAAATTTCCGTAAAAGGAGGAAGTTAAACCAGCTGAAATGTTTAAATTGCAAGCACAGTTTGGGCAGAAATCAATGTCATGAACAAGGCTGTCCTGAGGGTGTCGACATTGACGCGACCAACGAAAACTGCTGTCAGATGACCGCTTTCCTTCGACTGCAGTCACTGAGCCCAGTTCAGTTTTACGCCAGAAGAATCATGGTCCTGCCAAAATTTTGGCAGAGGTGCTGCAGGACGCGCACTTCGAAAAGTGAAAAACTGTCATAGCTTTGTGTTTGTTCCATTTTTCTGTTGTTTCTTCTGTGGAAATAAAAGTCCAGGTAAATATTGAACGGATTTTGTATTTAATAGTTTCGTTTCCTCATCAACGCGTTACTTACGTTTATGGACAAACTCGATTCGGTTGGGGGACCCATGGCTTCCGAGATTCTTGGCGCGAAAATCTCTCCTCCGGCCATTCAATTCGACTGAGATAAAAAAAAAAAAAAATATATATATATATATATATATATATATATATATATATATATATATATATGGGTCGAGGTTGTTTTCGTGCGCGGTGGAACTTGGTAGATGGCCGAAAAATCATCATTGTCAACCTTGCTCGGCCGGCTTCATGAATAAAAAGGCGCTTGTTTGCCCGAAATACAGTCGTTGCGTCTCACCAGAACACATTCGTTTTTAAGGGACGCTGCAAGTGAAAAACTCGAGTGTGTTTGTTTTTTCTTTGAAAACTGGGAAAGATGTATAAAAAATGCACGTTCGATTGTTTCCAGAAGAACTGCGCGTCCGATCATTTTGGAGACGAAATAGCGTCAAGTCAATAAGAAGCCTCAATAAAATTTCTAACCCAAACAATAAAATTTTTTTTTTCTCATACCGCACAGGCCTAACGTCATGCTCATACGTTTCTCGCAGATCGCTTTACTGAATAGGAGGGAAGAGGAATTTGAGTGCTTTGGTTTCGCCATTTGCTTGGGACTTCAAATTACATTGCTTCTTAGGTGATAACTTTCTTTGTTTAACTCGCCATGACTCGACTATCGAAGAGGCTTTAAAGGGATAGTGAACCGAAATTTGGATTTAAGAAAAAACGATGCAGGAGATGTCGGCGTGACGCTACAATCCCTACAACACTACTCGTAAGGCGATATCTCGAATGGACGGCAGTATTTTTGGAAAGAAAGGTCGAGATTGAACCAGGCCGACGAGGCGCGTGACGTGAAGATACCTATGTTTCCTCCTCTCTTCGATTCGCCCCCTCAAGGCGGCGAGGCGGAGAAGAGGCGAGGCCGTTCCCTCTCCTTTTTGGAGAAACATGAAGTGAACATTTCTGTCAAATGCGCTTCCTTTCCTTCAAAAATACGGTCATCCATTCGAGATATCGCTGTATGAGTGGTGTTTTGGTGTTTGTAGCATCCCGTTGCATGCTTTTGCCGCGTGTTTTGTGGTATAAACATTTCGGTTCAGGGCATGGCTTCGGCCCTTTCGCCGCAGTGAAATTTTTCGTCACGCTTTTTCTTACTGTTTAGTGGTGATCAGGCCGGCTTGCTAGAATTCGCGTCTGAGCAAAGACTTGATGAACGAAAGCACTGCCAGAGCCAGTGCGCCAGCTGAGCGGAATTTCAATCACGTATATATATATATATATATATATATATATATATATTGTAACGGACAAGGAAAAGGAAGAAAAGGAGAAGAAGAAGACGAGGTCGTGTGGAGAACGGGGGACTGAATTCTGGGTTGCCCGTTTAGCCCATGAACTGAGACGCCCGCAACATTTGGTGGCAGCGGTGGGATTGCGAAATGGCAACCCAATCGGAGGCAAGTGGCGTCATCTCAACTTCCGCGGCGATGCAAATCACGGAGCGGTTAGCTAATCTGCTCGTCGAAAGGAGTGCTACGGACATTGTGAACCAGCTTGGAACCCTCGAGGATTGCCTCGCAATCCGTCTGTCTCTGCTGGAATCTGCTGTCGATCGTCAGGTTGCCGATGTAGGGCAACGCCTCAATGACGGCCTTTCGTCCGTGGAATCTCGAATTCGACTGCCTGTGCACCACGGACCGCCACTCAAGCTGCCGACATTCGATGGGCAGTCGTCATGGCGAGCCTTCATCATCCAATTCGAAACGGTTGCAGACTTTTACGGGTTCGACTCAACGTCCAGGGGTGCTATGTTGCGCTTTTTGCACTCCCAGGAGACTTGGAAGAGGGAAGTGACGTCAACGACACAGCAAATGCAGATTGGATGTTGACAGAAGAAAACGAAATCAACACCCAATCTGCGTTTGCTGTGTCGTTGACGTCACTTCCCTCTCCTATAGTCTCCTGGGAGTGCAAAAAGCGCAACATAGCCCCCCTGAGCTCGTGCAATGGTGGCCCAGTTAAGGGGGAACGCTGCTGAATGTTTGGAGAGCATGTCTGCCACAAGTCGTTCCTCATATCAACTACTCATTGAAGCTCTAAAGTCCCGCTTTGGTGATGAACATCTCCAGCAATTTCACCTGACTGCTTTAAAGCACCACCGCCAAGGCACGGACACACTCCAGGAGCTAGCTGACGTAATCCAGAGGATGGCGAGAAGAGCGCTCGTCGGATGTACGGAAGTCGACTTGGAGCAGATAGCAACCACTGCTTTCATCGACGCAATCGAAGACACCGACATCCAGCTTCTTGTGCGACTCGCCCACCCAACCACGACTCGTGCAGCACTGGCTCGCGCACTCGAAGTTCAAGCAGCCAACAAAGCAATGGACATGGTGTCGACATCTGGAATCAAGCTTTCGCGGGTGGCTTACCGATCTTCTCCGGTACGTTCAAGTAAACGTCGTTGCTTCACGTGTGGTGACATTGGGCACTTAGCTCGATCCTGCCCAAATCACTTGGCCCCGTGCAAAATGCAACCTATACCAACGCCAAACGTTTCAAGTGACAGTGAGCCTGGCAAGGTTGAGTCTCATGTAGTGCATCATGTTCCTCTGGTGACAACGTCACTGCGCACCTCGCCAACGCCATGTCTTTCAGTTCATCTTCATGAGTTGGGACAACATGTGAATGCTATCGTGGACACCGGAGCTGCAGTAAGTCTAATCGATTATGCATTACTGCAATCAGCAAAGTGTACCACGCCCAAAACACTTCCTGGTACCGTCTGTCTTATATCAGCCGACGGTTCTACAATCGAACAAGAAGGACGGATCTTGTTGACTGTAGAAACTTTAGGAACAACAGTCAACCTCCCCTTTGTAATTGTGCGCAAGTTACAATGGTCAATGATACTCGGCCGTGACTGGTGTTCAAATGTCCAACTCTCCCTATCGTTTCGAGGAGGTGAACATTGTTTGTCAGCCGTACCAACTTTCAGCACTGGCGATCAGTCCAGTTGTTCTGCGACAGAGTTGCCCCAAGGAGATAGCGGGGGAAGCAAAGAAGCAATTTCCTGGAATTCTGAGAGCTTATTCGATGGATGTATCCTAGCGTGGTCCAGCTTGAAAAACCTGACGAAGACCGCTGCAGCACAAGTGTGTTCTACCGTCGCAACTGCTACAACATTTGTGTTTACACTAATGGCACCGATGGTCAATCGAAAACCACAGAAGGTCTTCCGTATGGTCGCAGCATCGGACATTGTTGTACCTAAGTTATCTGCAGTTTGGGCTACAGCATTAATTCCAGGTTCAATGAAGTCAAGAGATATCCTAGTTGAATCACTGCTACAATCTCGTCCTGGGATGGAGTTTGCTATACCTCGCCGCCTTGATTCCTGCGAGAAGGGGAGTTTGATGCTTCCAGTTTTAAACCTGACGAAGGCGACGAGATGCACAGCTGAAGTGTCGGGGACCGCCTCCACTTCGACCCACTTCGTCAGGTAGTCTGTTGCGACAATGACGTACTTGTTTCCATCATCAGATTTTGAAAAGGGCCCCAGGTGATCGTCCGTCCATACATCTACGGAAAGCATTTTACAGTCGTGACAGATAACTCTGCTCTCCGCTGGCTTCAGTCAAAAAACGATCTAACTCCGAAATTGACTCGGTGGGCAATAAAACTGCAAGAGTTGGACTTCTCGATCGTTTATAGAAGTGGGAAACAGCACCAAGACGCCGACTTCCTCTCACGGCACCCCATCGAAGACGCCAGAGTTGCTCCAGTACTCGCACTCCTAGATTTGCAGTCAGCGCAAGCAGAAGAATGTGACACGTTCAACATAATCCAGTTGCTTTCTGACGAAGTGAACGGGAGACCGCGACTTTCAGAACGTCGCTTACGGCGTCTACGAGCGTACTACCAGCTTCGGGACGGTCTGCTGTGTCATCGAGCACATCCCTCAGGAGCGTGGCTCCCCATAGTTCCCCCCAAAATGCGTCGGAACGTTCTTGAGATGTGCCACGATGCTCCAACTGCGGGTCACCTCGCGCAACACCGGACGCTCGACAAAGTCGCCAAGAGATTTTGGTGGCCGCACCTCAGGACGGATGTCCGACAGTACGTCGCGTCTTGCGCAACATGCCAACTGCGGAAAACACCACCGCACCCGACGAAGACCGAACTACAGCAAATACCACCTCCAGGCAGCCCGTTTGAGGTAGTTGGAATCGATCACCTGGGGCCCTTTCCAAAATCTGATGATGGAAACAAGTACGTCATTGTCGCAACAGACTACCTGACGAAGTGGGTCGAAGTGGAGGCGGTCCCCGACACTACAGCTGTGCATCTCGTCGCCTTCGTCAACAAACACCTTGTATTGAGGCATGGCACACCCCGCCGGATAATATCTGACAGGATAACGTCATTTATGTCCCGTACTTTCAGTTGTGCTTTGCGAGATTACGGAATTGAACATGCGGCCTCTTCACCCTACCATCCTCAAACGAATGGCCTAGTAGAGCGCACCAACCGCAGCATTGGAGATATATTAGCTGCGTTCGTCAATAAATCTCACAAGAACTGGGACACATTCATTGGTACAGCGGCGTTCGCTTTGAACACTTCACAACAGGAAGTGACCGCCAAATCTCCATTTGAGCTTGTTTACGGAAGACTCCCGACGCTTCCGCAGGAATCATCGATGGGCGCTGCATGGACCCGTCGGGCGCGAGAGTATGAAGAGAACTTCGCTGAGCGACTAAGTGAAGCCAGAAAACTGGCTCGGCTGGCTATTCTAAATAAGCAATCAAAGTTAGCCGAACGTCCCAACAGAGAAACCTCATTGCCGTCGTTTTCACCAGGTGATGTGGTGCTTCTTCGAAGGAACCTAAGATGTCCACAGCACTCGGAAAAGCTTTTGCCCAGGTACTGTGGACCTTTCAAGATTAGCAGGCAACTTGGACCCTTACCGTCTCGAACACCTTGACAGCCTGCCTCAGCGTGGGCGACGCCGCACTTTGACAGCCCATTCAAGCCATCTGAAACTTTATGTCACACGTGGTGACTATCTTAGCATCGTCCGGGACGGACTTCCAAACGGGGAGGGGCGAGTGTAACGGACAAGGAAAAGGAAGAAAAGGAGAAGAAGAAGACGAGGTCGTGTGGAGAACGGGGGACTGAATCCTGGGTTGCTCGTTTAGCCCATGAACTGAGACGGCCGCAACAATATATATATATATATATATATATATATATATATATATACAGGCTGTTTTTTTTTGTTTTTTTTTACAGATTTGTTTAAAAAATAACTGTGAAAGCTACACTAATACGGTTTGTGCAAGTGGTTTATACGGCCAGACGGACATTATGGGGGTGGCTAATCTGTGCGATATGTCGGCTAATTAATTAAAATTTGTTAATTAACTTTTTAATTAGTGAAAATATACATATAGTTCCAATTAGAAACTTGTAGAGCATCATCGAAAACTACTAAATCAACTATTTTTTGAAGGATACAATGCCGGGGCGCGTATTAGCAAACCATATCCCGTACAGTGCCTGGCCACGCCCCCTTCGGCGCGACGCAAAAGCGGCCATTTCATTGGTTTTCAAAATGTCACGTGACATGACGTCACTTCCGCGCCGTTTGAACGCATTTGAGCGCGTTTTCGTCTCGCCAAGATGGCGTCCGCCGCTACGCTGGTGGGTGAGACGCGCGTTACGCTGCGCCGCTGGAAACACTTCGTTTCACGCGCGTACCTAGATGAATCGAATGTTTTCAACTTAGCAATGTGAACTCGTTTTTCGGTAAGATGAACGCCCAGGACTGCATGCCGACATAATGCTACAGCGTACGCTGTAGCATTATGTCGTGAGATGCGCAACTCCAACCTATTGCGGTACATTTACTGAAGGTGTGAGTCATTTTGAGGGGCCCGAGTACTTTGATGGTGATAGAACGACACCTCCATCGCTTTCCGAATTCGCACTGGAACGCGCGTAGACATCAGGCGCACAGCGCGGCCGTGTCTCGATTAGGCGCGAATTCCCGTAACGAGAACATATTCACGTATAAAAAGCATTGCGTCCGCGTCGAGCCGTCCTCCTGCTAGCAATTGGTGCTACGGTGCAGCGGGTAAACTTCGACGATTGTAGTGGTCGTACTCGTAGGGGCGACTTCGGCAGTGGCGCGTATGCGGTGGCATCATCTGGGCGTGCAGTCCTGGGCGTTCATCTTACCGAAAAACGAGTTCACATCGCTAAGTTGAAAGCATTCGAGTCATCTAGGCACGTGCGCGAAACGAAGTGTTTACAGTGGCGCAGCGTAACGCGCGTCTCACCCACCAGCGTAGCGGCGGACGCCATCTTGGCGAGACGAAAACGCGCTCAAATGCGTTCAAAAGGCGCGGAAGTGACGTCATGTCACGTGACATTTTGAAAACCAATGAAATGGCCGCTTTTGCGTCGCGCCGAAGGGGGCGTGGCCAGGCACTGTACGGGATATGGTTTGCTAATACGCTGCCGGGGCAGCATTTTACGGCGTTCTGTAAAAGCGCTTCATTTAGACGCGTTTCTAGATTTCGGTTTCTTACCGGAGCGCATCTTTACTCCCGCGGTCCTGCCTCCCGGTGGTCGCGGCGCGAAGCCACCTCCTCGCCTCCCTCGTAGAATGGAGGAAATTAGGGCGCACGTGTGTTGCGCGTCTCAGCCACTGGGGAGCAGGACCGCGGGCGCGGTGATGCGCTCCGATAACAAACCGAAATTTAGAAACGCGTCCAAATGGAGCGTTTTTACAGAACGCCGTAAAATGCTGCCCCGGCGTTTTATCCTTCTAAAAATAGTTGATTTAGTGGCTTTCAATGATGCTCTACAAGTTCCTAATTGAAATCATGTCTATTTTCATTAATTAAAAAGTTAACAAATATGAATTAATTAGACGACTTATCGCAAAGATTAGCCACCCCCATAATGTCCGTCTGACCGTATAACCCGCCAGCAAAAACCGCATTAGTGTAGCTTTCGCAATTTTCTTTAAACAAATCTGTAAGAATAAAAAAAACACCCATATATGTGTGTATATATATATATATATATATATATATCAGTGTGTCGAACTGAAAAAAATACGGGTTCGGTTACGGTTCAGGTTCAGGTAAATTAATTTTGTTCCGGTTCAGTTCCGGTTCGATTAATTCGGTCCGCGAACCGGTTCGCGAACCGGTTCGGGGCGCTGAACCGGTTCGCGAACCGGCTCGGAAATTATAAATGACAAATTGCAACATCAAAATAAATTACAAATAAAACATCTGAAATCAGCACATACGAAACGGGATACATCGTAGTGTAAGGCTCAAGGATTTCTACCAGGAATGGTTTCTTTATGTGCACTCAAAGGTTACCTCACCGACGTTTACGCATTCGAACTTCATCTAATTGGGTCCGACGCAGTAGCTGTATAATCCGCGACCTCCTTACAAACCCACTTACAAGTACAACTCGCTAACTATCTCGCCACCTCGGCGTGTAAGCAATTGAAGGAACAGTGGGGAGAAAATACAGCTTTATTTATTTGAACTAGCCTTCGGTAACTCAAATTAGACCCTTAAAGAAGTTTTCATTAAACAAGATACGGAATATGAAAAACACTTCACCGAACGCAACGCCAGAAGGACGTAATAGTATAAATATTAAAATAGAAGAGTTCGCTGTCTCACAAATATGTTAGCTTCTAAGTGCCTATACGAAACCGGATGCATTATTATCAAACTCCACAGCCTTTTCTTTTCTCATTCCGATGGAAGCAAGCTTCAAGAACTCGCGCGTTCTAGAAACGTGTTATGAAATGAGCACACAGCAGCATTTAGGATTTACGAGATTGTAAAAAAATAAAATCCCGTGACGCGATTTTTTTTTTTTTGCACAGCCTTCCAATTCTTTTTCTTCCGTGCAAGCCGCGACCAGCGCAATACTGGTTCCTATGTCAAGATTCATGGATGCAGCGTTTATATTCCTAAGACTGAGTGGAGAAGAAAAATATGTAAGCGAGGTGTGTGTCAGTTGACGGCACTTAAAAAACAAATGGCATTGATAGCACATTCATTGTCAACAGCGCGTGGCCGAACCGTTTTGACATGAGCCGTTAACCGTTTTTTTTTTTTCCGGTTCAGTTCCGGTTCGGGTTCATCGCGATAACAATATAACGGTTCGGGTTCAGTTCCGGAAAAAATACCGGTTCGGTTCCGGTTTTCGGTTCGGTTCGGTTCCGGTTCGACACCGTGATATATATATATATATATAGTGTGACGAAGAGAAGATCTACGGTGCGTTGGGGAAAAACACTGAGGCTGAGGGAAGACGAGGAGGAAGAGGTTCGTTCGGGCAGAGCGCGCGACTAGCTGGATTCCCAACGGCCTTTCTCTCAACCTAGCTACCACACTTTAAATAATAAACCCCCATCAGTTTGTAACATCGTTTCCTTACAATTGGAGAAGGTGCGGGTTTCCCCAACTATCCGGACTTCACTCGTAAGTGTTCCTGCATCCTACACCACTGAAATCGATGCGACGCCAACCGGTATCACGCCAAGGAGCCTCGGACGAGGCAGCGCAGGACACCACTCCTGACCAGGCACCTACTGTTGCAAGTGCAACCACTATCCTATGCGCGGGAGCCCTCCGTCAGCGGGAGCCAAAGCTCTTCAGCGGAATCGGTGACGATGACATTGAGGACTGGTTTGAGTAAGTTGAAAGGGTGAGCCTCCACAACAAATGGGATGACACCGTGAAGCTCAATAACGTAATTTTTTATTTGACCGACGTTGTAAAACTATGGTATACTAACCATGAGTCAGAGCTGGTGACCTGGCCCCAGTTCAAAGCAAAGATCCAGGAAGTATTTGGGAAGCCTGCCCAGCGGAAGCTCGTCGCGAAAAGGACATTGGCATCACGGACCCAACTGCACAATGAAAGCTTCGTTAGCTACATCGAAGATGTCCTGAAGTTGTGCAAGCGCGTTGACACCCGCATGACCGAAAATGAAAAGCTGAAGAACATCATGAAAGGCACTGCCGAAGATGCTTTTTAGATCCTTGTCGTCAAAGCGCCAACGACTGTCTCTGAAGTCATCTGCATCTGCCAGAACTTCTCTGAGCTGCGCCTTCAGCGTTTGCCAGCCAAACGCAAACTGGAACCTTCCGCAGAGCTGGCCAGCCTGACAACTGCAATCGAAGGCTCCGTCGACAAATGGGCCGAACTCCGATGCGTCATTCAAGAGATCGTACGTGACGAAGTGGCTCGCCAATTAGGAAAGCCTTCGACCCCTCCGGAGTCCTTTATCTCGCCTTCGATCAGAGCGCTAATTGAGGATCAGGTCAAAGCCGCGATTCCTTGCGCCGTTATGCCGCCGGCCGCGTCACCGCCGCTGGTGCCTCAGGTGCCAACGTATGCCGAGATGCTAACAAGCCCGGTACCTGCTCGAGTCTTCCAACCACAGCCGCCATTTTCTCCTCCTCGCT